CACTAGACATCTTCCAGGCATGTGAGTAAAACTAGCAGTAGTTCAGCGGACAGGATGAATGAATGGTAGCCGGCGCACGGAAATAAATGTGAACATAATCGTAGCGGGCCTTAAAAAACCTGTATCTGTCGATCTCTTACCTTAAATGTAACAAATGTTAGACAAACACATCACACACATAGCTATACAAACCAATTCTGTAGATGAGTACCCTGCTTCCAGCAGGATCCCGGTGTGGGAGAACAGCATGGTATGATGCTTTAAGGAGGCCAGACACTGATAAAGGACACAGGCATGTGCTGATCTCTGGACTCACTCTCCTCCACTGCAGGTAGTTCAGCAACAGCTGGAAACAAAAGTCACAGAGTTCTTAGAGAAACACATAAAAATGTTCCACATTATAGGCCTGGTTTACAAGTTTGCTCAAATAACAACCTACAAAATGAATAGCAAAAGCAAAGGTGATCTGTTGAATAGGTTTAAATTGCTTTGGGTCTTTGACATGAGTGTAATAGCAGGCCAAGTCTTCTGTAAATGGGCTGATCGGTAAAACAAACAAAAAAAAGATGGAGGAGGATATGCAAATGTACCTCCTTAGAACCCTCCATGGACCAGAAGTCAGCAGAAATGCAGCAGCTATATATTTGGGCTGCTGGGTCACATAAGGACAACTTTCCAGCTTAATTAATTCTCTATTCTCCCAGTCAGCAGCATTTGTTAGGTCAACCTCTCTCTGCTTGTTCTCATCACAGTAGCTTCATCTGATATGTTCCTATTTGGCTGTGACTTCATTATGGAGAGAAAAATCAGCTGTGCTGCTGCCATCAACATCTTTGTTTATAGATTCCATAGAAGCTTGGCCTGTCTTTCAGTGTAGGCCTGTTTCTCTGACTGTGACTAACTGGATGTGCCCTCTTTCATCCTCTGACATGGGAGACGGGGCTCGACTGCATGGCTGCGTGTTTTCACCTGTGGAGCTAATTGACAGTTGCCTTTTGTATCTCTGCTTCTTTTTCTGTCTGCTTCTGTCTCCTTGAACCCCAGTCGGCCTCAGCAAATGGCGGCTCACACTGAGTCAACTTTGCAGAGGACCTCTCACCTTGCAGAGCTTTTTTTTTTTTATTTTTTTCAGTGTCCATGTACATGAAACACCACTTGTTTAATATGGAAGTTATTTCCGCCTGCACCCTGATGTGCCTCAGAACTTCCCTACCGGTTCTTTACCTGGGAGCAAGTTATTTACTACTCTTAACTCAAACTGGGTAAAACCATATAAAAAAGGACTATAAAACAGGAGTGAAAAAGTAACAGCGTTTGTTCCAGGTCAGGTCGTTAAAGGACAGAGAAATGGCTTGGAGTCGACACAGCTGTAGGCTCAAAAAATGTCAGCAAGCGTCCGGCAAAGATTGAGCAAAGATTGAGCCACAAACAAGGTCATCTCCTCCTTCTTATACCTCATGAGTCCATGTTTTGCATCAGGTGGACGCTTAACTGTCCGTATCAGAAACTGACACGCCATCCATGCCTTCATGCACGTTGCCTCTTTACCCCAGGATTACACATTGCTCTCCTTTATCAGTCCGGCTCCAAGATTTGCTCATATCCTGTGTATTTTTAAAGACACGAAAGCTGTCCTGATTAGATGGCCTCCATACACACAGTGACATCCACCATGTGAAGGAAGGCCTTCTGCTCTCTCTAATCTGGCTAACAAAGTAACAATGCACATGATGTATAAAGAATAAACCTAACAGAGCTTTGTTGCTGGCCAACATGTGTGCCAGCTTTGCACACAGTGCACTCAGTCTTTCAGTTGTCGCGACTGGGATGGTAGATGCAAAAACTATTTTTTGCAGTTTATCCTTGAAGCTACACTTTCATTTCCGCTTTTTCTGTCCCGTAATGGTTGCAACTTGTCATTAACAAATCCGTCCCCGAAGCATGATCCTTACCATCATCTTATTTGTACATGTTCAAGCAGATATACATCAGGGTTTCAATAAATAATGTCATTATGGTACCAACATTTTTTTTCTCCAATATATCTTATTAAATTTTCTGTTTTTTAATACAACAAAGATTACAAACTTAACCTTGTAACATGTTTTTTATACAAACATTCACTCATTCATTCACCATTCAAACCTGCACCTGTCTAGTTCCAAAAATATACAATGCCTTTTAGATTAAGGCAGAGACAAAAAAAGAAAAAAGGGAGTAAACCGCCATCAGTGAGCTCCACTTTCAGTCCCTGTAATCCTCATATATGGCTCAAATAGAACCCATAGATTCTCAAAGCTCCTTTGTTTGCCCTTTGCGATGTATGTTAGTTTTTCCAGTCCAAGTGTGCTTGCAACCTCCTTCTCTAGAGTTGCATGGAGGGGGCCTCCATTCTCCTCCAGCATAGTGCAACAGATCTTCTGGCTTGAAGAAGTCCATAGTCTATCAATGTAGTTATCTTCTGTGATTGTTTAAATTCTGTTGGATATATTCCTACATATTTTAACCTCTAATGGGAATTTGACTTTAAGCAATTCAGATAGACACCTAATAACCTTCCAAAACTTCTGGACTTTAGGACATTCCCACAAACAATGGATAAGTGTTCCTTTTTCAGATAAACATTTAGTGCAAGTATCTGGAAAATCACTGGACATATGATGAAGCCTAACTGTTGTTATATAGGTTCTCATAAGCCATTTATATTGCAGAAGTTTAAATCATGTATTTATCGTTTCTTTTTGTGCTTTTAAACATGCCTGATTCCAGTCTTCTTCATCTAAGTCTTCAAAAGTGTCTCTTCTCCAAACGTCTAACTTATCAATTGCTGAATCTTTAGAGAAAAGCATCAACAGGTTGTAGAAAACTGAAAGAAAACCTTTTCCTTTTAAATCCCCAAAGCACACTTCTTCTATTTTTATTAAGGGTGGAATTTCAACTATTCATTTCAGTTTTGAAGTCATATAGTTTTTCAATTGCAAGTGTTTAAAAAATTTTTGGGGTATTAAATACTTTTTACATAACTGATCGAAAGTAAGCAACCTACCATCATCATATAGATCTTAAATTTTCTGAATGCCTTTGGTTTCCATAGTTTAAATCTCCATCATTTTTCTCCTGGGGTGAACTTTTTATTACCCCATATAGGGGCAAATTGTAATATCTCTGGAAGGTCGCCTACATGTTTATGTGCTGAATGCCAAATTATAATTATATTTT